CCATGGGCTCCCGGGATTATGTCTCACCTAGAATCTTTCAGAGCCTCCAATGTATCTCTCTCCTGAATGGCAAGTGGTTGCTTCCTGTGATCTCAAGCCCTCTCATTTCTCTAAATTTTCCCTGGTGTCACAGAGGGTAGCGATAGATTCTGATGCATAGAATTTCACAGAGAAATATCTGCATAAGCTAACAGTTACAGTTTGTCTTTTATGAGAGACTTAGTCTCTACGCTGTGGCTCTCAGCTGGGCAGGAAAGAGTATAATATTAGTGATGTTATACTTCTCTCCTGAAGAGAGTGGAAAACAGATGAGGGCTAATCTTGGTTGTCAAAGAACCCTGCTTGTGACAGCTAATCTTGGTTACTAACCTGACATACCTGAGAAGAGACAATCTGAAGACAGTTTCGTCATGGTGTTTGTCATAGCAACAGAAAACAAACTGGAACACAGCTAAACTACACTACACATAACAGATGCCATCTCAAGGGCTCCTGGGATTGATGTCTCCAGTGAAGAAAACCCACACTACAGTTGAAGTTTAACTAGGAACTTCTGTCTTTAGAGACTTGCCTAGCCCTGGTCCTGCCATGCCACTGCTGTTAAAACACACCATCCCCCTCTCACTGGAGACAATGATTTTGCCATCTTTATAAAAAGAAGTAACACAAGAGTTTAAGACAGGGGGCTGGAGAGATGGCTCAGTGGTTAAGAGCACTGACTGCACTTCCAGAGGTCCTGAGTTCAAATCCCAGCAACCACATGGTGGCTCACAACCATCTGTAATGAGATCTGGTGCCCTCTTCTGGTGTGCCTGAAGACAGCTACAGTGTATTCATATATAAAAAAATAAATAAATAAATAAATCTTTAAAGAGTTTAAGACAGGAACTATCACAATACTAGCAAACAATTAGTATTGTCACACTAGTGGCTGTCTTACATTTTAACTGTCATGTTAACTGATTAAAAGAGATTAATATTGAGTCTCTTAAGGATGAAACTTTTATTCCTTTCCTCTCTAAAAATAACTGAGATTTACAAGCTTAATCCTAACATATTTCTCCAATTTAAAAAGAATGTCTAGATCTTTGTTGTTATTACTGTTAAAATGCTACAAAGATTTAAAAAAAAAACTGTGTTGACCTCAAAATCTAATACTCCTGAGATTATGAAACAAATGTCTTATTCTCTTTAATGGAAGCTGAGCCGATAATATATAACACTTTATAAACTAAATAATGCCTATTGTCTTGGAACCAAAGAAAGAGTTGGCAGACCTGCAAACTCACAGCCTTCAGTCTGGTTTATAGTCCCAGTGCTGTCACAGATGTCCATCTTGCCTGCTAAACTAGAGTGGTAGCCAGCTATTCTGCAACATGGAGTGAGAGCCACAACCAGACCAGGAGCCTGGCTTCAATTTTTAACTCAGTATCACAAAAGCCTTAGAAAGTCTTGACAAGTACTGTTAAGAAATATAGATTGCATTTTTTCAGAAAGACAATACATGAGGATCCCTTAATGCATATGTGATTGTGCACATTTTTTTAAATCAAAGTAAGTGCATTTTAGATGGATGGGGGTAAAGGGCTACCCAACCTTTCCACAATGAATAGAAAGGTGGGATTGATGAGGCCCAGAGCGCTGCTGACAGGGAAGAGTCTCTGAGATTCACTCACTCAGCATGTGTGGTTTTAGGCTCTGAAACAAACTGCCAGCAACTGTGAGTCAGGCCTTTCGTACAGCAGAACCCCATCCCAAGGGACTAAAGAGCTTAAAAAGTAGGGAAGATGCCATATTCTGACAGAGACAGCTGTGTGTAAAACGGGCAGGGGCAAAGGTAACAGGAATAAGACATTAGGTGCTTCTGGAAGTCAAAGTCACAGGTCACATAGCATTAAAACTGTTTCCAATGTCAAGGAAATAACTCCATTGGCAAAAGTTCATAAATTTGTTTAGGAAATTGTTAAATTAAATGTGGGGAATATTACTAATGTGCAGTAAACTATTGAGTAATAATCAAGTTGCTTATTTTAATACCACATATTAACTTATTTTTTCTCCTACTCCAAAACAGATCATAGTTTTTTGGGTTTTTTGTTTGTTAGGGTTTTTTTTGGGGGGGGTGGTTATTTTTAAATAAGAGCAAACAAATTAGATAGCAGTTTTAATAAATTAAAGTATTAAATAAATAGAAATGACATTCTACAATTATGTCAGTAGATTGGGAACTAATGGCATTGACTAAAAATATTTAAGAATTACTAACAATAAATGATTCTTCGGTTTACATTCATGAATAAAAAGTTTGTAAACTATTTCCTCTAAAGTTCGGTTTCCAATTTTGTATACAAGTAATTACTCTATTAAGTGGTCTTTCTTATTTATATAATGTAATTTATTACCCTCTTAATTTTGCTGGAAAGCAAGCATTTTTAACTCTCAGAGACTGTCATCCCCAGAGGGAAAAGCTTCTCATCCATAACTGGGTACCTATGGATCTGAGAGCCTACTGACATTATGGGCAGAATATTGAGCAGACTAGGTATCAACAGCTCCTCAAGGTGATCCAGAGCTCAAAACTGTTTGATACTATGGTTATAACACAGAACACAAGTGAATGAAGTTTTACTAAAGTTGAGGTATGAGTTTATGGCCACTAAGTTGTATAATACTGAACATATAGATACACACAGGACAAAATACATTGGATCTGTCTTCCAGCTGCCAGATGGCATGGGATAATCATTGTGAACAGTAATCACTAAACAGACTCAAACTCACTAAAAGAACAAAGCTCCTTTAAACATTTTTTGGTTCAAAATTTAGTTCTAAATTTGAACAATTTTCAATAGAATTGGTTTTCTAAATTTGATTGCTAAAGATAGAACTTAAAGTTTAACCATGGTTCTTGATTGAGGACTAGTACAGTGAATGTTTGCTTATTAATTTCAACATTTGCACTGCTTAGTACAGAGGGTAAGATGGTAGATGACCAAATAACTATGCCAAGAAATTATCAAAACTTTCTATTTATTTCTGTCCCTGAAAGCTCACAAAATTAAAATCATTACCACACATGTATATACCCATGTGAAATCTTCAGGGTCCATAAGTTGAGATTCCTTTATATATATATATCTTGATTTACTGTTTTTTTCTTTGACTCTAACTTTCTATATCAGAAGAGTGAGGAATCTAAACCATTTGCCTAAATTGGAACAAATTAAGTTACTTTCTTTCATTAAATGTTTATTTCCAGGATGGGAGTTAGACAAATGCTACATTCATGAAACCATTCAGTTATAAAATTATATTATTATGGTTAAGTAATTTCAAAAAATTAAAATAATAACTTTCAAACAAATAAAAAGTATACAGCAGTAGTTAGAAATTTATTAAAGCAAAATTTTCTAAAAGATAAAACTGATTCTTAGAAAAATATAAATATAAACACTTATAAAATATTTTATCCAAATAATAAATCCAGCATTACTACAGTGGTAAATTCATTTTAAAATATTTCTAAAGCTAAACATTTAAAAGCCATATTATAAAATATTTGGAGTAGATATAAAACTGGTTAGTGTCCAACATGGTAATAAATTTTAACTATTACATTTGTTTCTTCCACCAGGGAAAATTTGTATTTCTATGGAACATGAATCTACAAGCTAACCTCTTCCCTTAAATTCTGTTCAATAGTTGTTTGGTAGAAAATCAAGGTCAACATTGTAAGAACATGCCAAAGTTACAGTAGGCTATTTCCAATTTCAGATAAGTTTTCTAACAAGTCAAAAGTCTCTCATAAAATAAAAGTTCTTGCATTCTGAGGTCCTGTTTTGGTTTTCATTTGTTTTTGAGACAGAGTCTGACTGTAGTCCAGGCTGACTCAAACTTGAAGTCGCTCTGACTCAACTCTTCCATGCTGGGATTCCAAGTACATGCCATCATTGCTTCTATAACACATCAGTGGAAAGTAGCCAGTCTGGTAAAAAAGTACCCCAGGTACTTGCTGTGTTCTCCAGTGAGACTCCAACTGCTTGAGCTCAAACCATCCTGGTGACGCAGGCTAATGAATACCTTGGACTTCCCAGCTTGGTTCTTGACTAAATTACTTAATTTTTATGAGAGAAAGAGAGAGAAAGAGAAAGAGAGAGAGAGAGAGAGATCAAATTCATATATAAACATATATATATATGACTTCAATATATTTTTCAGACTAGTACATTAAATGTGACTTAAATAGTCTGCATTCAAATAAACATTAAGATTTCATAAGACAATGTTCAACTAAATTTCTATCTAAATGTTTTATTCATTACGTGTAATACAATGCATATTTAAAAGTACAGTAGAATAAAAACATTATTATTCAAACCCACAGATGTAAATATTTTAAGAATAGTATAGGTAATTTTACATTTTGATCAATTCTCTATGTACTTAACAAACTTATTAAAGACGAGTAAGAAGAAGAGTTTAAACTATTGTAAGGCTCACAGTAACCATGGAAAGCTAACCAAAAATTAAATCTCCTCCTAAGAGGGATGAAATCTGTTAGCTATCTTTTTTTGTCAACCCTATAGTATGATGCTATATGTACATGTATAAAAAGTACAGTGATCATGAGTTACAACATCAAATTTGTGCACACACAATCCAGGCAAGCATCCTGACTTTTGTTGTTGTTGTTGTTGTTGTTGTTTGTTTTTTGTTTTTCGAGACAGGGTTTCTCTGTGTAGTTCTGGCTGTCCTGGAACTCATTCGCATCTTGACTTTTAAATTGCCTATTTTTTTCCACTGGTGAAGTAACAAACAAACACACTTTTAAAAGTTCATTGTTTATTCCATTTTCCAGCTTAGACAGAACATTTGGTCTTCAAAACAAACACAGTATAAAGAAGGGACAGACTGGGGTAGACTGTTCCAAAGGGGAATGGGGAGCTGCAGTATTTCCTTTTGAAAACTAACTTGTGTATCAGGAAAAAAAAGTACACAACTTTAATTTGTAAAATTTTATTACAAGATCTAAGACACATGTGCATTTTCATATCAGCTAAAATGAAACAAGTCACACCAGAATAAGCTCTTGTATGTGAGCCAAGGTAAATTTTTCTATTTTTACATCTGTTAGAGCAAATAAACCACATAATGGGCTAATATGTACCAAATCACAGTAGTTTTTGAGCACATCTGAAATACAAAAACATTTTCATCATTTCAATGAAAGAAGAATGTTACTTATTAGAATTCAGAGTTTGGCCTGCAGCTATTATTCAAAACTAATGCACCATCAATTACTCACTATTTACAAAACAAAATAAATCATTAAAAAATGAATGTAAAGAATGAGGAGATGCCCAGCTGTTGAGATTCACTGCTCTTCCAGAGGACCTTAGTTGAGTTCCAAGTAAGGTAGCTCACAACCGTTTCAGAGGTTCTGATGCCCTTCTTCTGGCTTCCATGGGTACTGCGTATGCATGTGCATATGTATACATATGCATGCACAATAAAAAGTAAAACTAAATCCTTAAAGACAAGTTATAAAAGTAACCAATGTTCTTGACCCTTTTGCTTAGAATTAAGCATGTTGAAATAACTAGACAAAAAATACAGTCAGATATATCTGGAGGAGGCCAGCCTGCTCAGAAGCATCCTAACTTGAGAGGCAGGAAAGCAGGATTTTAAGAAACCAGAATGTCTGTAATTAATATCACAATGTGAATTAAAATGGTAAATTCTGAAAAAATAAAAAAGTGTTACAATAAACGTAGGTCATCTTGAAAAGGTATGAGACAACTTGGCAAAAATCTTTTAATTCTAAGTCAAGTGGGAGTGTAAAAGTGCTGGCAAGGATAATTAAGATGATTCGTGAGACAAAACTCATAGAGAACAGCCAATATAGGGACTCACCAGGGCCCACAGTCATACTTAGATCACAGTGGAGGGAACTGTAGGAACATGACAAAGTTCATCATGCCAAACGAAAGGAAACATACAGGATGGTAGACGCAGTGATTGGACATGAGCCTTGAAAAGCAGAACCGAGAGGGTCAGTGGATGCCTCTTCACTTGGTCTGTCTTCTCCTATACTTAACATTTTGACTTACTATTTTGACAAGTTGGTGTGTTTGTATCAATTATAATCTACACAGGTATTTTTTCTATGATATAGCCTGTATTGCTATGTTTTTAAAAGTTCACATCAATATCAAATTATTCTTCACCAGAAGACAGAAAACATTTTGTGTGCTAGGGACAAAACTGAAAAAAAAAAAAGAGAGAGACTAGAGATATGCTAAAAATGTGCAACTTTTTATTTTCAAGTTTCCAAAAGGAAAAGAAAGTCAGTAAATCAGCTTTTATGAAGAGAGGGGCACATTTCAGACAGGATATCACTATGAAGACCAAACTAGTCTCAGACTTGCAAACCTTGCACGGCTTCCTGGGCGCTGAGATTTCAGGTCTGTATCACCACACTGGCTAATCAATGACCTTTCAAATAGGGATTTGGGGAGAGTTAGTTGAGACTAAATTTACCTAATTTGTTGTCATATACTTATCCATGTGTTCTTCGTGAGAAGATGCAGTCATGTGCATTGGGTTTCATTAAGATTTCTTGTATTGAACTGAACTACATAATAGATTTAATATCTGAACTTAATCATCAGTACCTAGATAACATCAGTTAAATCAGATGAAACCTAATTACACCAAGGAAGTCCTCTATGATTAAGAAAAAACTTCAGAAATCATAGCATATCCTTTATAAAATGAAAAATTGTTAAGTATTCATTAAAAAGTAGGCTGGGGTTAGGGGCTTAGTCATACAGTGCCTATCTAGCATGACTGAAGGCCCAAGTTTAACCCTGAGCTCTACAGGGCATGGCATTGCATACCTATCTATAATCCCAACACTTGGGAGACAGAGCATCAAAGACCAGAAGACCACTGATGCATAAAGGGTTCAAAGCCAGCCTGAGCTATGTGAAACCTTAACTTTTTTTTAAACTAACCAATCAGTAAAAACAGTAAGAGATGCTACAAGTAAATTTTCAAACAGGTAACAATATACCTTATAACTTTTTAGTTTTCTAACCAGAAGGCATAAATTGGATCAAAATTGAGACAGCAAATTGAACTAATACATTGATTTTTATATATGGATATTTCTATGCTGTCAACAAATTTCTTAAAAAGAGAAGGATAGGAGATTTTTGCTGCTCAAAGGTAGCTGATTATCTTAGACTCTAGAAAACAGACTGATCGTTTGTAATGAGTCTACTACCATGTCTACTTAGAAGGTGTTTCAAGACTGCTGCTCTTGAAGATCACACGCCTCAATTTCCTGATGTGGAATTGCCTCCCGATAGGGTTGGAAAAGTTGTTGTAACCATCAGCAATGAGAGAATGTCAATCAACTCACTGCTAGCAGCTGATCAGATCAGTCAAATGGCATGGGAATGATTTGTTAGAAGACCCAGTGTCTCTTGTGTATACTGTTCCATCAAATGACATGAAAATGGTTTAAACATCGGTAGGTATAATCATTCGGGTCACTGCACAATGATGATGCTGAGACCCACATATCAGAGTCTTAGGAGAAAATGTCATCAGGCATTGTGCAAGTGATATGTTATTCTGAAACTTCTTGAATCTGCATACCTTTAAACTCTACAAAATTTTTAAATTCAGTTCATGATATAAACTGTATCCGTTTCATGTATTCAACTATGCTGCCTCATTCCTAGAAACACTTTAGGTTGATACCTTGTATTGAAGAAAAACCAAATGTGACGCCTGTATGGCCCTCAAGGCAGAAAGCCATTTGTCATTCGTTCATAGGCAATACTCTAACCCCGTGTGCATTGATGTAGGTGATAAGGATTCTGGCCCTACGCTCTATCACGTCAATAAGCTTCTCAATGCCTTGCCTGCCCCCTTGACTTTCCCAATAAACCTGATCAAGGAACAGAGACTGAAGGAGCTTCTGCCTTAAGTGTTGGCTCTTCAAAACAGAAACTGCAGATTCAGGAAACCTGAAACGATAACACAATATTTCATTCTTAGTAATTCCTCAGAAATTATTTCTTCCCCCAGTTTCTCTGCACTCCTTAGTCTCATAAATCACAGTATCAAATAAGACCTAGAAAACCAAAACGTTTTTGTCACTGACAAGCAGACAGTTCTCCTAAAAATAAAATACAAGAAAAATTTATTTCAAATGAACTAAATTATCTAATCCATTCGAAACTCGACATCCTAATTTCTTATTTAAAGGTCATTAAAGACAGGCAAAGAGAGGCATAGAATTAAGATCACACTAGGGCTGGAGATGTATTTCCCATCATCTTAAGCTCCGTGTCTCCTATAGAAAGCCTTTTGTCTGCTCTCGTCAGTAATAAGGTGAAGTTTGATATAAAAAAAAAAATTGTGAGAGGCAAAAATGTGTGTGGTTTCAGTGAAGCATCCTCCCTGAGCACCAGTTACAGTTTAAAGTCTGATGACCTCAGACTTGTGACAGAACAAAAGAGAAATCATTTTTTAAAAATCAATTAGAGGAAGAATTCTCTCTGATTCAGATTATACTTTTGGAACTTGCGTGATTGCCTGTGTTTTGCTTTGTGTTTGTGTTTGGTTGGGGGGGCAGCATTATTGGGGGATTTTACTTTTAGTTTTTAATTATTTCTTTTATGTTTGATATTATAACATAATTACATCATTTCTCCCTGTCCTTTTCTCCCTCAAAACTCTCCCATATACCTCTCCTTGATATCTTTCTGATTCACGACCTCTTTTTTTATTATTTGTTATTACATGAATATATATATTCTTAAATATATATTTATATATGTATTGTTCTGTATATTGATCTATTACTGGTCTATATACTATTACTTATATGTGTGCTTTCAGGGCTGACAATTTGGTGTTGAATAGCCAATTGGTGTCCTCTTCCCTGGATAAGACTGTTTTTCTAACTCTCAGAATTCCTTAATTGCCTGTAATTCTTTGTGTAGAAGTGAGGCCTCATGGATTCATCTACAAAACAACTCCCACATCTGGAGTTTAGGAAACACTGAAGAGGACAGAGTGGAGATGGAAGGTTGTAAGGCCCAGAGAATCAGGGAGTTTGCACCCACAATGTCTCACCAACATGACATGAACTGAGTCACCAACAATAAACATGCCAAAATGAATGGGTTCAAGGCCAGTGCTTTCCTGAGTGGAATATTAAGTGATGCTCTGACTTATATCTTGAATGTCTCCCAAATGTCCATGCATGAAAGACTTAGTCCTTGGGATACTATGACTGGGGGATGATGGTCCTTTTAGGAGGCAAGCCATAGTGGAAGATGGTGTCATTGGGGCATGCCTTGAAAGAGATGCTAGGACTACACCCTTTCTTCTTTCTCTCTCTCAACTCCTGGTCATCAGTGAAAAGGATCTCCCCATCCTTGGTTATAAAAGTCATGTTCATGAAGGAAAACAAACCATTACCCTACTATTGGCCTTTACATGGCATTGGTTAAAGGGAAGGAAATCACTAATAGAAGTATGGTAGCATTTAGTACCACCACAGTGTACAGTACACTAAAAGATCAAAGAAGCAGAGCCAGGTGGCTATGTCCTGAAACTCTAAAGCTGTGAGCCACAGTAATTCTTCCCACCTTGTAAGATGATCACCTCAGACATTACTTACAGTAATAGAAAGCTGGCAATTGTTTTCAAACAAATTCAGTAACACTAAACTTTTAGAGTAAGGATATTCAATGACAGCTCACTGGACATCCTGAGGTGAAGTCACTTAAGAAGAACCTGGCTGAATCATTGAAAGAGTTCACTGAACTTATTTTTGGTTTTTGTTTTATTTTTCAGGTAAGAATACTAGAACCAGGGTCTAGCATGTATAGTGTCATAAGGTTTTAGAAAATTTCTACTTTAAGTCATAGATTACATTTTGCAACACCTCCAGCTTGGCCTCCTCTAGCTTGCAGAAGTATTGTACCATATAATCACTGGGTTTCAAGAGTGACTTTCAAATAAATTTAGTTGCACCTTAAAAACTATAGGGCAAGAACATGCACTTGTTTAAAGACACACTTGGGGACAAGACACAGGATGCACAGGACACCTTAGATACTAGGAATCCAGGGTCAAGAACTCTGGTGATGGTAGAAACCAAAGATTACTGAGCTGGACAGAGGAAATAGTATTGTGTGTTCTGAGTCCCCTAAAAACATATACCGTGCAGTCTTGTGGGCTATATCTTAATGTTTTGTTGTATAACATATTAATATCCATAATTATTTTTATAGCCTTTCAACCAAGTTAGCTTAGGCAGAATGCATGAGGTAAGAGTATTATCCAGGCTTTTCAGTGCCTAGAAGTTCTGTTCATAAAAGAAAACAATACATACCTCTGCTATGGGTTTTTACATTGCATTGGTTAAGGGAAATATTCAGTGTGTGACTCTGAGCTTAACAAAGACTTCACTTTTGCTTATTAGTGTGTGAATTATATATTCAAAGAAGATTTAACCTTAAACCCATTACATCCCATAATGCAGTTAAAGTTTAATCTTCTTTGAAAGAATAAATAAAAGTATTCATATTTCTGTGAATGTTTAAGATAGATAAATGTATGCCCCTCGGCACTCTCAATTCTGCAAAGAAATTTAAGTCCCTGTAATATCAATTTAGTAAGTGATGTCTTAGGAATGTCATTTTCCCTATGCATAAATTTTCCTTGGCTTAGGCATTTCAAAAAGAGAATCTGCCATGCATTTTGCCTTCAATTCACAGAGCTGTAAAGAATATCAAGGAGGGAAGGATGTGGGGTGGGGGTGGGGGAGAATCCTCTTGGCACTCTCAAAACCCACAGGAAAGGGTTGAGAGTTTAAAAATCCACATTATCTAAGTACAAAGTTGGGGGGAAATGATTGAAATGTGGATATGGAACACGCTGATCCACATGCCAGTGGATATGGAACACGCTGATCCACATGCCAGTAAGAGTAACAGCATTAGAACAGAAACACAAGTTGCCACAAAGAAAAAACAGCAGGTGTACACTTGGAAGGGCTGAGTTCTACTATTAGCTTCAGACATACTGGGCTTATTTCCTGATGTTCAGCTCTTAGGTGGGGAGGGCTATGTCTATCTAATGGGCTCTTAAGCTTCCAATGGGACCTAATTCCTTGGGGAATCTTATTCCTAACTAACATGGGTTATGTTATATACGAGGGTAGCTCCTCTTGCTGTGAAATTTACTCATGGCTGCCATAACTGAGGTGAGACTGATCAGACTTTATAGCCAGCTCCTGCTACACGTTATTTCAACCTTTTTTTCAATGTTTTTATTGATTCTTTGGGAATTTCCCATCATACACCTGGATCATACTCACTTCCCAGTCCTTCCAGCTCCCCCCTTTCACCCTTGTGAACTTCCCCACCTCCCCCCCAAAAAAGAAGCAAAAGAAAAAAGTCCAATTTGTGTTGCCCATATACTCACTAGAATGTGGTCAAACTTCCCATAGCCAGCCCCCTAAAGAAGACAGTTCTTTACCTCACTGCCCCTTCTGGCCCACCGCCCTTGCCCCTTGTGCCCCACTAGAAGCTGCAAATGCATAAGTGTGCCACAAGACCCACTGTGTTCTTACTTCTCCAGTACAGTACTATCTTCTTTAATTTCATGCTGCCTCCTTCTTTACTCTGTATCCTTTCTAAGTCCTACCAAATGTCTCCCAAATTGTTTGGGTCATCTCTGACTTTTGGGCCAATCTTGAGTTCAACAGTTCTGCTTTGCCTAGCCTCCTGCAGCCCCTCCTTTGTAGTTTTTAAGACCCAGCCCCACAGTCTATCTACCAAAAAGACTTCTGAGTACTCAAAAGCCCTCCTACCCAGTTTAAAGGGCCAGCCATCCTTTGGCACCCTACTTTTCAGAGAGCTCTTCTCCCACTGTATTCATAACAGTCACTTGGGTTAATCATGAATCTGACATCCTGCCATGCTTATTAGTTCCATTGACTTGCCAAATAGCTTATTACAGATTTAGCCATCTCTATTGTTCCTGCCATGTCCAATCCTGCGCTCTCGTAATAGAGCCTCTGCCACCGATGATCACACTCCTGAGAGCCCTGTATATGTCCAACCTCACTCACATGGGTTTTCACAGTGAAATTTGAACATGGAGTGAAGGCAGACTGTGGCAGAAGCTGGGTAGGCATTGTGGACTGCTCACAGATGTAATGGCTGCTCTTGGAGCGATATTTTTCTTCTTGGGATCGCTATTCCCACACTTACAGTTTCTTTGGAAATTAGATATATCTAACATAAGGTGTGAGTCTTTACAAAACTTTACTAATTGTGAACAAACAAGTTGTGGTCTTCCAAAATGTCACTCAATTAGAGAATGTACTCTTCGTTTTGGGTGTAACAGCTCCTTCCTGTAATCCAAGCCTTCTGAAAGCAGAGGCAGGAGGATAACTGTAAGTTTAAGGTCAGCTTGAGTTATAGTGAGTTCCAGGAAAGCCTGAGCTACACAGTGAATTCCAGAACAATCTAGGGAGATAAGACTTCCACAGTAAGCATACTTACTCTCTGATGCCTTCTAACAATTTGAAGTTTAAGTTGTCTTCACTTCTGTCAAAGAAGCCCTTATTGTTTACGAAGACCAAATGCCTTGGGTCATTCTTTCTCTGGATAATGTGTGCTAAAGTCACAGAATTTTGGTCCTCACAGTTTGGCCTCAGTCCATTCTGTATACAGGCGTCTTCCTTGCGAGGTCTGAATCCGCAGCAATTTGTATCCAAGCGATTATAAATCTGAAAATGGAAATGAAAACAACATCCAAGATGCTGAGCAAAACCTTGGGAAAATCAGAACATTTCCAAATAATGGGAGCTTTCTGAACAGCTGACCTGCCAGAATCCAAGCAAGCCCAGGCTCCTTTAATTAAAAGCAGCTGTTAGAATAAGTCCATAGTTCAAAGCCCTCTGACTCACACATAGTCCTAAGCATTTCCAGCTTCTGCTAACAGCAGATCATCCAATTCAGGCAACCCCACCCTTGATATCCACAGTTCCCACGGAATCACATGCAAACATGTGGCCAGCAGAATCTCTAACTCTTCAGGAAGGAGAAGATAGCATAGTATTTCTACAGACCCAGGGACTAGCTCTTGTGTTCTTCCTGGGATGGGGGCCTAGAGATTCTTATTACTTTATTGGCTATAAAGTCTATTGTGCTGGACTGAAGTATTGCAGTCGCTAACCTGAAATAAGATAGAACTGTACAGAAAGTATGATATCCAATAATGAAACATCAGCTAGATTCTGAATATGTGACAAAGCTATAGAGACTTTAGGGGTTTGTTATAGTGTGAAGAACTATAAATAAATGAATAAATAAATAAATAAATGTAGCAAGGATGACTAGAACACTCCTTAATGTCACTTTTTTTTTTACCAAGAAAAAAGTAATATTCAATAATCACAATGAAATAAACTTGAGCTCAGGAATTTAGTCACTTAAAGTCAAACCTCTGGTCTTACACCTGTTAGCACAACCTTGTGTGCATGACTGCATGGCATTGACTCTGTTTAATCACCTCTATGCTATGACTATTTATGTTGTACAGTTGGTAGAAATTTTAAGGAAATACTGTACACCGCCCTGATAGGCAGGGGTGCCCAAGCTTATGACTTTGAAGCATGACGTTGTTATTTACAACCATGTTGGACCACATTCACAGCTATCTTAAGATGTACATGGTCCTGTGTCACAGGTTAGACACACTAATCGGGCATACAATCTTTACTTTAGATCTGAATGCTCCCCACCCCCAATGGCCTATATAGCAGAGATTTATTTCCCAGGTTAACATTGTTGAAGTGGTAGAAACCTTGAAAGATGGGACTTAGTAAGAGGTATTAAGTGATCTAGTTAGACCACAGAAAGGGATTTGGACCCTCACTACTCTTCTCTGATTCTCAGCTTCCTTTTTGTCTTCCCATAAGTCCAAACACTATGAGGTCTGCCAGCTAGGGACTAAGGTCTGCAAAACTGTGAGTCAAGCTTAAACTGGCTGGAGGCCAGTTTTCATCATTACCATCATATATTCATGTTCAACATATTAATTTTCATGAGGAAATAAAATGGTTTTTGTTTTGATAATAATAGAATAAACATTTAGAATTTATCTCTTTTTGGTTTGTTGCTCTTGTTGTTGTTGTTGTTGTTGCTGCTGCTGCTGCTGCTGCTGCTGCTGCTGCTTGAGACAGGGTTTCTCTGTATTGCCCTGGCTATCCTGAAACATGCTCTGCAGAACATGCTGGCCTTGAACTCAGAGATCCAATACCTACCTCCCAGCAGTGTCGCAAGCTTGGGACCAAGCCTTTAACACAGGAGACACAGGGAAGAATTTTGATCTAAACTATAATAAAAGCCATGAATGCTGAATGAATTCATGTTTGATCATAAGCTCTCATGAATTTAAGCTCTGTCAGCATCTCTGTAAGAATTATTTTTTGTAGTTAATATTTTTAAACCTCATGAAAGCATGAGCAATTAGAAAGAATGACAGAGGACATCTTTTTTTTATTGCTGTCTCCTCATTTGACTGTTTCCTACAGTGTGTTCTAAAATGTTCTATATTATCTAATTTTGAATCATGAGATATTCTGATGATTTCACCAATTCTCTGAGAGCTTGCTGTGCTGGCAAGTCTGACCAACATCACCACTGATGATAGGTATGTATGACCAGTTCCTCTTCTAGGAAATGATGCCACTGATGTTATTCAGATCCAAACATATACTTGGTGAGTACATTACCATGTGCCGAGTGTATGCCTATGTATACCTAGGAATGTACACTCAGACTGTAAGGCCTTGGGTAATGTGTTTTACTCAGTTCTATTGCTTTCTAGCTAGAGTAATGCATGTGCTTTTATTTTTGCCCTTGTATAGTAATGGCTTATGTAGCTATTAAATCATAGTCTCCAAGTCTTCTCAGAATTTTATCATAGTTTTTCTCTTAGGCCCCATTCAATAGACCAAGGATATTGGTATGACCCTTATCTCTTAAAGTCCCTGAAAGTCAGCACTATTTCCCTGGCAGCTGGTTTAGGTATATGCCAAATGTAGTTCTGCGTACTTTCAAGACAGCTCACCAGTTTTTAAAGCCTAATAAAGCACATTCTGCATAGCTGTGAACCCCAGATGATATTTTAATGTGCTTGTTTAGTGTACACATTAAAGCAAACACTTAAGCATTGCATGGTTAAGTACCCACAGTGCCAAGCTGTGTCTCTGTTCTTAAGTGGGCATCCTAGAAAGAAGCCTATTGTGGGTAAATGTTTTCAGCTAAGCAATAATGATCACCATTACTGTCTGTTTGAGTTCTCATTATTTTATTACTTCACTTAATTTTTTGGTGGATGCATATGGTATGTATATGCGTACATGACACCCTGCACACGTAGAGGTCAAAGGACAACTTTCATATATGGACTCTATCCTTTTACCATATGAGTCCTAGAGACAGAACTCATATCATCAAGCTTGGCAAAAGGCACCTTTACCAACCTGGCTCAGGCATGTCACTGGCCCTGACTGAATTCATACTTTCTTATTCTATAACAGAAGAAAAAACATTTTTTTTTGCAAAAGCAATCTACTGCTGAAGAGGACTGCCAACCATCATTTTCCATAAAAGTACTCTTTCCTTTTTTAGAAAAACATATCTTTTCAATGTTTACCTAACTAAAATTACACTCAGAAAAATCCAGGTGTTCCTGCCAATTTTTTTTAAAGAGATGGGATAGATATTTTTAGATGTATTTCCTTCAAAAGATTTTTCCCTTAATTCCATTTTCCTTCTGTAGTAATCATTTTGTCTGTAGGAAAAATATATCTTCTGAGTAACTTATTTTTTCTTATTGCATCTAAAGCAAGGAAGCCTCTGCCTCGATGCGTGGCTCTGAAGAGCCGTTAAATGTCTGCAGAAAACCAGCTCCTTTTTACACAGAAAAGTACACCCTATCCAGGTCTGTGTTCAAAACTAGGTACATCAAGGACTTGGGAAAGTTTATGCATATGGTCATTGACTTCAAAGTAACATGACTAAACAACTAATTGCAGACAGTGTCCCAACAAAGCAACAGAAATTAAATGAAGAAACTGAGCTATGAGGAAGAGGCAGGTGACTCCTCTGGGTTCCCGTCTTCTCACCAAGAGTAGAACTCAGAATTTTAACCCAGAAGTATAAGCTGTCTTCAAGGCACCATGCTCTCATACATCCTGATTTTAGTTTTCAGGTACCGTCTCCCAGCCATGGCAAAAGAAGCATTTGTTCACATTTGCATAAAACATTAAATGATTCTGCATGCAATTAGTGTTGATTACAAGAGTTTCAGCAGAAGTACAAAGAACTATAGGCCAGAATACCGAGGAAAAATGCAGGAAGGAAAAATCATAAAATTTGAGTTTAAAGAGCCAGGCAGCATAAGCTGCAGAAGAAATATTTCATTACACTCAGTGGGCAAAAGTGCTCTACGAAAATGCTATGGGTATTTCTAATGGTGCTCACAGGCACTGTTTGCATTGTTTTGTGGACTGGTCTGAAGTGGTGTGAAGTGGCTTGAGTCCTTGGTGGATTGGTATGGAGTTGCCTGGGTCCTTGGGAGACACTGGTCAGTAGAGGTTGAAGTGCACTGCTGGACACAATGAGAGCATGAAGCCAACAGATGTTAGACTGTCCTGCCCATGTGAAAAGTCTGAGAATAGATTTACCTGAAAACTTTGCCATTTTCTCACATTGAACTGGAAGGACAGAAAGCCAGCGAGCAGGACATCAGGGGAAATCATTAAAGATTGAGAACTGAAACAGAGCATTCTGGGAAGCTGAAGGGAGACTATAATGAGGATGTTCTCACCAACTCAAACAGTAAACTCCTATCATTCACATGTTATGGCATAAACCAGCTCAGTTAGATAAACCTGCATATTGGTATCCACCTATTTTTCTTTCGAACATAGTTGTACATGTATGTATTTATGATTTACCCAAAGGCTAGCATGTTGTAGACATTCAGCAAACGAATCTTAGTGAATCAACTCTGCTGAATGTTGTAACTCAATTTGGATTTGACTATGTACAGGCCTTCAACAAAGCATTGCCTTGTATTGAGAAAAAGCAAACACAGTAAGGTGGTAGGTATGTCAAGAGGAGAGGAACTTATAAAAGGATTGTCAGGAGCAAGTCAGCAGCTGCCTCTGTCTGTCCTTTGTTTTTGGCTAGTGTCTATCTTTGGGTTTAACTGCACTAACCATGGATCATGAATTCTGCATCTGGAAGACTATATACCATAAAGCCTTGCATGACATTAACATAACTGGCAGGTGAAATGGAAATCCCAAAAGGAAATTCTTTCTCTGCTTTGGCTAGCAGTTTCCTGGCAGAGTTCCTCTGACTTTCAACTATTTGATTGAACATCTCACTTGCTTGTTAAAAATACAGGTAGGAAATAGGTCTTACTTTCAACAATCAATGTGAAAAGGCAAAGAGACTCAGAATCACACTTACTTGCAGCACTCCAGGCATGGGAAGACACAAAATATCCGGGCTTATTTAGTTGCCAGAGAAATTCACATGGGAAAATGTGCTCTGGAGTTTTGTCCTATATAAACCTGTGTGCATTTGCAATGCTACAAATGCAATCAGAGTTGGTTTCCTACAGTCTAATGAGTGAAGAAACAGCACATCATGGGAAGAGAAATCCTAGACAAACACCACAGCATCCGTAATGCTTGTTAATGCAGGA